TATCCATCGCACACAACGACCATCCTTATTTCCCCTGAAAATCTTATGAACTATTTCATCAAATGACAGGCTGCAGGCATAACTGTCAGAGTGAACATCGTTCATAGTTTTAACCAAAATCTATAGACTATTTCATTCAATGACGGAACAAAGTCATATACGTCAGAGTGAACCTCGTCTATAGTTTTAACCAATCATAATCTCAAAATAGGTTTATATTCAAAACCTTTCGAGCCTTAGAACAATCTGTTCTGTAAATGATTTCTCAAATCATCTAATTCTCTTTAAATTCTCAACACAGGATATCAAATCCAAAACTGCTTTTAAAGCATAGTTTCTGCTTTAATCTTTTCCAAAACAGATTCAAACTAGAATCACAAAATATTTTCTTTAAAACTTAAACAAAATAGTTTTTACCAAATTCCTTTAAATTTCAAACCATCAATATTCAACAGTTTACAAAATCAACAATAGATATAAACTCACGATTTGTAAATAGATAGTAGTTCAAAAACTCACAGGTTATATCAAAACAATAGTTAAACTCACCATGTTAAAACAAATTCTGTAGTAAAAGATCACACAGCAAACACAAATTCTTTAAAACATTGGTTCTTTCTCAAGAACACCTTCACCGTCTTCAACTTTTCTTTCTAACAAATATATATTCTTTCAAAACAAGGAATGATAAGATTATCTTGTCTTATATTTCTATTTATACTCCTTTCTAAGATACCAATACTTTACTTCATCACTAAGATACCAATACTTTACTTCATCACTAAGATACCATTACTTTACTTCCTCACTGAAATATCATTACTTTACTTCCTCACTAAGATACCATTACTTTACTTTCTCACTAAGATACCATCTTACTTCATCACTAAGATAGCATTACCTTACTTCATCACTAAGATACCATCTTACTTCATCACTMAGATACCATCTTACTTCATCACTAAGATACCATCTAAATATTATTATACTACACCTGCACCTTACCTATTAAGGTATGCAATTTATCACATATATACACATACATAACATAACATTTGCATGTATCTTCTTACGTTCATCTTGTCTTTGCACATATATCATCCATGTATATTATTTTATCATGCATACCATTAGATATTCAAATATTAATTACGTATAATTTTACCTCAACCCAGATTGTCTGAAACCGGGTTATAACATTATTCCGATGTTATATCAATAATAAGGAGTTTTTAGTGTTTGGATGGATAAAAAAAAAGAAAATACTTATACCGGTTTGGCACCAGTAATAAGAAGTTTTTGATAAATTACTCCCTTATAACTTATCAACTTATTCCAGTGTAGTACCGATAATAAAAAGTTTTTAGTGTTTGGATGGAAAAAAAAAAGATATCTTATCTATTTTATCAACTTATCTGATGTGACATAAGTTAATCCAAACATTTTTTTTATAAAACTCCGATTTTATTACCATATAAGTTGATAAACACTTTTATAAAAAAAACATAAATTATTTTAAATAAACAATCCAAAATGATATTGAGAACATTTTCCTATTTCAAAGGCAAGTTCAACCATATTTATTTTTTATTGCATCAATTAATTTTTTTTCTATTAAATTGATTTTTTTTTTGCATTAGTAAAAAACAAATTTTATTGTAATAATTTGAATTTTTTTTAAAATGTTTAATTTCATATATGAATTAAAAAAAACGAGATTTGAAATGAAAAATAGATTTTATTGCATTAATTTTTGGGAAAAAAACGAATTTTAGTTATTTTTCTATAATTATTTTGCAAGTTGGTTCTCCAAAATAGGAATCAGGTGCAAGTTGGTTCCTTAAAATGATGATTTTGAAAGTTGGTTCTCCAAAATAGGAATCAGGTGCAAGTTGGTTTCCCAAAATGACGATTTTAAAAGTTGATTCCCGAAAATAAAAATTAGGTGAAAGTTGGTTCCATTTTAATACAATATTTCCTTAGATTAAATAATTCTTGAAAATAAAATAATAAATTAGTTGTTTAACGGATTGTTACTCTGTAATCAAAAAAGCGGAAAACACCGACATACGAAATGGTATCAATTTCCTTGTGGAGAATTTCTCCATAAATGATATAAATATTTGAATCTACAAGAACTGCAGAATTGCAAAACTCCCTCTTACTACTCTTGTACAAAACCCTCCAAATCTCTGATTTCTGAACCAAAAAAGATTGTCCAATGTTGAAAGAACAGCAAACATCTGAATCTTTCTTCCAGATTCCTAACCCTGGTGTTCTACTACGCTCTTTTGATATCCCTGAACCCGTAATTCATCCTCCAGGAATCGACCCATATTCCCTCATGAACCCTAGTCCGCATACCGATTATGGGTTAGAATCGTTGCCTGCATTGGATATCGATCCTGGTGCAGTTTCACACACCCAACTCATCTCAACAGCAACTGATTTAACTGTTTCTGAACACGTAACTTTTTGTTCATTTACCTGTTTGTTTATTTGTTGTTATCGTTGGACTGATCGTGAAGTGTAGATGAAGTTTTGTGTGATTATAAGTTAGAACTATGAGATGCATGCACCTTGATCTTTAAGATCAAAAAAGCATATGAACAGGATGAGGGTTTTCTTTTCCCCAGAAAACCCATCTTTCTTGGATTTTCATGTCAATATTGTCCTGTATGATTTGCGATTTTGATGTTATGCTTTGGATTTGCATATGGGGATTTGCTTCCAACTCTTTATACCTTGGTCGTTGAGGTGTACTTGTCTGGAGACGTGGTTTAACATGAATGGTTTTGATCCTACGGAGACAGCAACCATGCTTTTTAGGGCAGATGTCAGCGTACATCCCACCCCGTGCCCCTCCTCCGGTGGGATATATTGGGCTCGTTTGGTTTTGATCCTACAGTCAGAATTTGTCTGAAAGGACGATTTAACAAAAGAAGGATCAAATAGAGGGTTCTTTTCTTTTAGTCTCACTAGTCTTGATTTTCCCTTCCTTATGACTTTTCGCTTTGTGGATTTTTCCATGAACGTGAACCGGAGTCTGTATGGAAACGGTCATCCTACCCTTGGGATAGAGGACATGTTTGCATCTATGCCGCTAATAGCGCCACTGTAACTGTGGCCTAGTGCTTCGCAGTCTTGGGAGAATAGCAGTGTGAAATCGCGTTGCTGCTATCTGCCTCATCTTTTAGTTGCAACAGCGGTGCCAATTCCGGAAATTTTCTTGTGCTTGATTTTTTACTTTAGTTAGGCTGTGTGGTTCCGGCTGGTGAATGAAAATGGGAATGAATTTTCATTACCTGGAATTTGAACCTGGGATTGTGGGGGACCAAACAATTTCTTTTATTTTCATTCCCGTTGATAACTGCGTTGGACTCTTTTTTTTTGTTTTGTTTGCCAAGTGTCAAGTTCTTATAGGTTTAGGTTAAGATTTCTGAAGTTCACGACTTCTGTGTTCTGAAGTTGTTCAACAATGTTCCGAAATGATGTTAATTCTGAAGCTGAAATTTAGCTTGTTTGACTTTACAAGTCATTTGAGAGTAATTATTTCTTTTTAATTGTTAGGAGCATGTATTTAGCTGCCAAAATACATGTTAATATGCAATTTTAATAACTACTAGATGGACTTTTGACTGCCAAAATATACATACGTTCACATATAACTTCAATTGTTATAAGAACCGCTATTATTGGACTGTTTTACCATCGCGATAACCACTATATCAAGTCACAGATTTTGACTGTTGTAACAACATAGGTTTGCATACATCTCACCCTTGAGACCCTACTTTCAAGTGGGATATAATGGGTTTGTTTGCTTTTGGTTTGGTTATCATCTATTTTATCTCTATTGGCCTTTTCATTCTGTTGTGGTAAAATGTAATGCCTTCACATATTCAGGCTGGTGGACCTTTGAGTGAACCTACAATCGAGTCGACAACTTCCTATTCCCCTGCAAACTCTGAAGTTGGTGCTCAGAAGACGGTGAATAATGTGACGTTAACAAACATCCGAAGCAAAGATACCCACCTCAGCTTTTGTGATGTTTGTAACGTACGTTGTGATACTGAGGATGTACTCAAGAAACACAAGCAAGGAAAACGACATAAAAAGAATGTACAAAAGCTTGCAGTTCCATCTGCCATCTCACAAGAAATGATACGACCTGCTAAACATGCTACTTTACATCAAGAAGCGGAGGAGAAGAAGCAAGATTTGTTGCAAAGTGAAGCATCGGTCGATTCCTTGTTCGTCTGTGGCATTCCTGATGTGATGGGATGCATTGATCAAAACATCCTCACAGTGCATATAGAGGGTGGAAACCAGGTGAATTCAATAAGACTCACAGGTTTTACCATTAAATAATTACTCCCCTTTGTTAATATTCATTATGAATTCATCACAGTTTCATGTTGTTTTTCAAGTATATAACGTTTTATATATGGCAAAACTCACACAATTCTCATGGACTTGAACCCTTGACCTACAGGGTATTGCTGGGCCAACTATTTGCTGATCTGTTTGTTTTTTTGCATGTTGGCCACCAGGTGACCAATGGACCTTTGTGCAGGGACGGGCATCCTAACCCCACATTAGTGAGCTTGGCCACGGTTCAGCCTTCCATAGACAAACTCGATGCCCATCAAATTGGGTGGTGTGAAATTTGCAAAGTAAATTGCACCAGCGACAAGACCCTTCAAAAACATATTTTGGGGAAAAAACACAAGAAAAACCTTAAAAATTCAGAAAAGATAGTAGCCCCTTCCTTGACCCCTGTTGCTTCAATGTCCAAGGGTGAAAAAACCAAGGGTGAAACTGTCCATTCAGAGGAACCTTGTAATGCGAGTTGTAGCAGCAATGTCCTGAGCAGTTATGAATCAGGGAAGAAGCGTACGGAGAACCTTGAAAGATCAGAGAAGACACCAGATTTAGCCTTGACCCTCCCCATTGGTTCTCTAGCCACCCCTCAAAAAGTGGAAATTCCAAAATCAGAGGAAAATAAGTCTGCAAGGTGTGAACTTTGTGGGATTTGTTGCAATTCCTGTGGTGAGCTCAACAAACACATTTTGGGTAAGAAACACAAAAAGAACATGAAGAAATCTGAAGAAATATTTGGAGTTGGAAGTGAAGGATCAATGGAAGATGAGAGGTGCAAAAGGAAGGCGAATTGGGAAAGTGATGACGATGATGATGATGAGGAGGAGGATCGAGATAGGAAGAAGCATAAGATGATGGAAAAAGAGAAAGCATCAATAAGTTGTAAAGTGTGCAATGTGGTTTGTAATAGCCCCACGGCCTTCATATCTCATCTTGCGAGCCATGATCATTCTGCAATGGTTCTTAAACAGGTCAAAGTCGAAGCTGTATCATATGAGGTACAACTATGATTTTGGGGTTACTTTTGGTTTCATTTCATTTAGCATATGAATCCCTCCCATGCTACAAAAGGAGGGGAAATTGTACTTGTGAGCTTCAAAAAGTTATAAACTTGTATGCCATTTTGAAGCAAATATGACTGCATCTGTACAAGTAGCCTTGAGTTTAAAACGTTGGAAAGAAGAGGAAATTGTACTTGTGTGTGGATGTACACCATTTTTGCAAAGTTGGTCCTTATTATCCAAAATATAATTGAGAATCGTGACAACTATTATTAGTATGATTAACTGTAATGACTTACACATGATGTGTTTGTAAAAAGAGTGTTGAATACAAACACAACAACCACCATGTTGGGATCAAGAATATAAAATACAAGAATCACATCAACAAGAAACTTATGCTTACCTTTCCTAAAAGTCCCTTATACACTTATCCTTGCATCAACATATATGTAAACTACAAGGGTGATGTCTGATTGGTTTGAGCTTGGTTCCAAATGAAGTACCAGGAGGTTTCAGCTTGGCTCCAAAGGTCAAAAGTACGAGGAGGTTTTAGGTTCAAATTCAAGGAGGAATAAAAATCCCCTTGTGGCCACGGAGGTTCAAATGCGGTGACTCCGAGCTATCTGCAAAGCAGGTGGTCGTCCTGGGATTAGTCGACTCGCATAGCGGTTGGATATCCAGGTTAATAAAAAAAAAGAACATATATGTATGCATATAAATGTATGTAAATAATGCAAAGTTTGTATGAAAAACACTGGAAATAAAAACTGGCCTTAATTGCAATCGCTCTCAATTTGGACATTAATTATTTGGTTATGTGCATGATCGATCTTAAGCCAAAAAATCATAACAGTCATGACGATAAGGTCGTTTAAGGGTTTTTTTATTCTAAACTTAGGGGCCGTTTACTAAACGCTTACTTGGTAAGTGCTTACCGGATAAATTTTCTCATCGAATGAATATGACAAAGGCCAAAAATCTTACTGAGTAAGAGTGATGAGAAGGATGAAGAGTCTTACCCGGTAAATAAAGATGACGACTCTTACCCAGGTAAGCGCTTACACGATAAATTGTTACATTCGATGTGTTTTGATGTAATAAAATCTCACGCATCAAAATAAATTATAGTGTTGATTCGTATCAGTAAGCACTTATTGGGTAAACAACCCCTTAATGTACATCTTAAATAACTATTAATAAGTATTAAAATAAATTGTATTTAATTTTTTTAATCGAACAATCTATATATCTATACAAAGGAAAATCATGGAAAAATGATGTGACATCTTGAGAGAGTTAAAATTATTAGTTACTATTTTTTCAATTTTTGAATTATTTAAAATAAAGAATTTTAACTTTTCCTGACGTTTATACGTTTATTATGGTAGTATTTAAAATTAATTATTATAATTTAAATTTGTAATAATTATCTATACTATATTATAAAACATTTGACAAATACTCTTAAAAATTATTTTTTACACATGAAATATTGTTTATTACTTAAAGTTCGAGGTTACGAGTAAATTATTCGTAATTACAATTTATTAAAGCTTTATGTTTGAATTCGTGGAACTAATTGCAAATAAACATAATCAACTACAGGATAAACATCTCTTACTAAATAAAAAAAATCTAAAATATAATTAAGATAATCATTGAATTATATTTATAACAGAATACTTAACTATTATCCTTATAAAAATTATATTATTAAATTAAAAATAAATTACTTCATTATTAAACTTAAATTAAATTATAATAAAAAATTGAATTAAAGACGTTAAATAAAAAAGGAGTATTTTTGGATAGTTAATTTGATACTAATATCGATATATTTTTTAAAATTTTTATGAATGAATACATTATCGTTTTCTTAAAATCAAATAAAACCATATTATATCGATAGAGACAAAAAATAAATCAAAATATTATCTCAATATATTTTATTGTATTACACGAGTATTTTTTATAAAAGCTTTTGATTTGGGTTCATGGAAATAAATAGCTGATGTTGACTGGACGCAGGTCAAATGAATTTTTTTTTAATTCAAATTGCAAATATACACATTAACCTACGAAATCCCAATTCCACATTTTCATGCGTAAAAGATTCTGTTTTCTGTAAACTCATATCTGAACATCACAAATCTATCTCCTCTTTCATCAGGGAATTGGCTGAATTTCGTCTAAATCAAACCCTAGAAGAAAAGGTTTCTCCCCTCTCTCTCTATTTGTTGTGGGTTTTGAAAGTATGTTTTGTTTTTACGAGGATTGCGATTGTTATTTTTCACGATTATCATCGGACAAATCCTGGATGTTTTATCTTCTTTTTTTTCGAATTTATGTGGCTAATCAAACTATTGAACCTTTTGTTCAGTATAAGGGCGTTTCCTGATGAAATCATCACAACTGCGTGTATTGTTTCGATATTACATAATCTGAAGAATAGATTTGTGTGGCAGTTGGCTTGTTGAACCAATTTAAGATACTTGAAATTTGAAGTTGATCCTCGGTGGAACAATTCCATTTGTAGTACATGTTATGGTCGTGTGTTATAAATTAGGAAGTTCAGTTTCTTTTAGGATTTTGCCAAGTGACTTCCAGAAGATGAAAGCTGATATTTTGAACGTCGAGAGGGTTTGCGCACATAAGAACTTGAGGATGCCTGAGAATCGGTGTGCATGATTTTGAATTGAGGGAATTTGAGTCAACATTGCAGGAGATGGTTTGATTATATATAAGCGTGGACCTACTAATTTTGCACTAGAGAGAAAAGGACACTTAGATGAATGCTGTTGTAGTGTTTTAGAATCCAAATACTCATGGCTTGAATGATTTTTTTCAGCATTTGTTGTCACTCTCTACATTCTTGACAGGAAAAATTCTTCTTCTAGGCTCAGATGAGATGTATCATCAAGATTTTTTCTTTTGCTTATATTTGTTTTAATGGCTGTTTATTGTAGATGTCTACCTGTTCTAGTAGTGGCAGCAGTTACGTTTTGGACGATGAGGAGTTATTACAGTTTGAGGCAAGATGTAAAGAGGTACATTTGTTGTTCAATTTCCATGTGAAAGATGGTTGTTGTCCTGGTGGTTTCTTGACTTCTTTACGCACTTTGGATACTCCTGTGGTTCTATTTATCGTGTGTTGTGAGCACTGTCTGAATACTCAAGTCTCAAGATAAATACACTCACTCAATGAACAATCAAAGTGTTGATGATTCTGGGCAGTTTATGCATAGTTTTTGCAGATGATATGTTTTATAGGACTGAAAGTATGAAGAGAATTGGGGTAGAGGGGAAGTATTGGAATCTTATTATCTTTAAACTATTGGAGAATGTTGTATTTGTGCTTTCTAGCCTTTACATGGTTTCCAGACTACCCTTTGAGAGGTTCTACTGCTTGATCTTCAGTCTTGCTTAATAGGCACTCTAGATTATCCCCTTTAACCGAGTCTGGTCCAACTTGTCTACACAACTTGCCATAATGAGTAGCTTGACAACTTCTAATAACGAGCCACTTTGGTTGGTGAAGCAAAGCTTACATCTGTTCAAGTAGAACTAGTTTGCTGATTGCTTATATGCCCAACCAAGATGTACCAAATGTGTGAAGTCATAAGCATCTATTGTGGGAAAGGTGGTTGCAAGATTTCAGCTCATGACCTGATGATTTTCTGTGGACCGTTTTATACCACTTGGTTAAATGCTTATTTGATAAATAAAAAAGAACGTACTTCATTTAAAAAATAAAAGAACATAATTCATGATGCCATATTTAACATATTAAACTTCATTTTATAAATTCACGGTTTCCGTTTATGGAAGCAGCCTCTTTGCAAAATATAAAGGAAAGACTGTGTACAAAGACTCATCTTTCACAAAGTTGAGGAGCTTTGGTGCATCAACCTCTTCCTTGACTTCTTCCAAACTAGAGATCTGAAAAAGTTTCGAACAATACTGACTATGCTTTATATTTTCCAATGCCAAAATTCTGCTGATCTTATAGTACTTGGTTCATGAAGTTTTAGAATTTACATCGGAGTATTGTGGCACTTATAAGTTTTCCTATCATTTCTTGGATGTAGTTGAGAATAGAAAAGGATATGCTTAAAGAATCAAGCTTTGAACTCATCCGGGTAAGTAATCCTTGTTCTTCATTTATTACTTCTCAAAGGCCATTATATATGGTAAATGATGCATATGTTCTTCGCGGATAATAAATGTGTTATCTACAAGACATGTTGCATATTGTTCTTTTTCTATAGAACTTGTTTTTTAGTGTTTTGGTGCTCAACTCGTGTCATTATTACCAATGCACTCATTGAATTGCTATTTGAATGAGGTGAATTGAGACAATGATATCTACCTCCTAAGTGTATTTTTGTCAAGGAAGGATCTATACATGTTCCCATATTCCCCCCTTTGGATAGTATCGGTGACTTGCAAAACCTAGGGTGTGAATCCATACCATTAGAGGCAATTCCCTCTTCATGCATGTGTCTCCTATCTCCTAAATTAGAGGCTGATAACTCCTGAACATAGTTGAGGTCTATGTCATAATTCAGAATCTTATTGGTGCTACACTTTGGATTGAAACATGAAGCTACAAGCAAAGTTAAGAACTAAGATATATAACTTGTCTGCTGTACTTCGATTATAAAGATCTAATTTGTCATGATGACAAGCCTTTAGGCGGTGGAAGGGGATGGTTGTCACTAGCAACGCCTAAACACTGCTAAGGTTATTATCAATAGTTGAGATTTAACACACCTTTTTTTGTTGAATAATCTTCATGGTACAGAAACCTAATACACAAATAAGATATATGGGCTTCCCATAATTTCATTACCATCCAATGTCATTGGGCTGAACAGCCTGAACTATTTGTTCGTTTCATTTTTCTTTGGGACCTTGGCCCATGTGTGAAGGTCTTACTCTTTCATCGGGTGCAGTGGGGTTGGCTTCATGTAGTTATCCCTCATGAGATATTGGGTGTGTGAACTATTTTCTATATGCAGTCGATGAAGCTGTTCTATTTTGTTCTTACAAAAACGAATTTATGGTTATATGTGAAATGTGCAAAACTCTGACCTAATAATTTGCTTACAGAGCTTGGAATCTCATGCTAGAATATTAGCTGAAACTCGATCTAATGATAAGAAGCGTATTCAAGATTTAGAAAGAGAGCTGAGTAACTGCTCCCAAGAAATAGGTAATGGCTCTTTATGTCGATTCAGTTTATGTGCTTGCATTATTGAGAGATTCATGCTCCTCGTTCTTCCTCTTTTACAAGTTGACTGATTTTCTGCTGGAGTTGGTACCTTGACAAAAGTCCATTTACTTGAGAGTTGGTCAACTACTGAATAGATCTTAAGTGGTGTAAACAGTGTTTCTACTGGCTTCCTATTTGTATTTCTATTCTTTTTCTCAGTTTTCATGCACACATTCTGCATGAATCTTCATACTAGGCAGGAAAAGAGGCCTCAAGGGGGAAGCAGAACCAGAACATCACCAACTTGCTTCTTATGAAGCTTAATCCAACTTGCACATTCGTTTTTTTTACTTGCTCTTTTGGTGATCTCAGTTAGAATCATATACATGGAAGAAGCTTATCAAGATGATTAATACAAAAATTATGAGCGTTAGAATTACTAGTAGTTTTTTGCTGAGATGCATGCCACTTGGGTATTCCTGGAACTAGCTGTTTAGGATTGTACTTCTAGACATATAAGGAAGCCACCTTCTTCTATTTCATATACCAATGGAAAACTTCTCTTCTGGTTCATGTACACTATTCTTATTTGGAACTTTTTTGAAAATGTGAACTGTATGCATATCAGTGTACGTGTGTGCATGTGGGCACCTTTTATTAATTGAGTGATAATTTTCTTAAAATTCAGGATGCAAAGTCTGCTTTAGGTAGGGCTCGATGAGCGTTGTACTCTACTCTGCTATTGTTCGTGTTGTAGTCCACTATAATGGACATCTCCTTAGAGTTCTCTCTTTGGTGTTCTTTGGAGGATTGAGCATGTATCATAGGATTCATTTTGCCAATATGCATGATTGTCCTGTAGGCTTGACTCATTGCAATGCACCTCCCAGATTACTTGCAGGATCAGCTGAATGGAAGGGACACAGAGATAAACCACATGACTGATTACATCCACAATCTAGAATCGAAGCTCAGAGAGAAAGAAGATTTTAATGAAATTGTGAGAAGTTTAGGGCAAGAGTTAAAGGTGTGCAATTTGGAGAGGTTGGCTTTGTTGGAGAAATTAGAGAACAAAGAGCAGGAGTTGCGTAATTCAACATTAAGTATAGAGAATCTGGAGGAGTCAATTTCGAATGTTGCTTTAGAGTACCAATGTGACATAGAAAGCATGAAGCTCGATTTGATGGCCATGGAGCGTAGCTTTTTTGAAGCTAAAGAACTCCAGGAAGAAGCTGCTCAAGGACAGCGTAGGATGCAGGAACTGACTAAAACCTACAAGCTTCAAATACAAGATGCTCAAAATGTTACATGCTTAGTTGAGGAAAATAAAGAATTGAGGGAGAAGCTTAAAACATTTGAAACCAATGTCATGTTGTTTCTGCAAGAGATGAATTCCCAATTTCCAGAGTTGCTCAAGAACCAGGCTACTCTGTCCTCACTAAGCAAATCAGAGAATGATCCAAGGTCAGTGACAACCTTCCCTTTGTTTGATCTCGTCCATGGCATCTGTTTGTCACATTAAGTTGCACAAGATCTTAATTTTTTTCTCTACTTCTTTTACATGGGATCTATTTCTTTTCTTTCTCATGGCATCTATTTCTTTTTTTGATCCCATCTGTGGCATCCATGGTATCTAAATCTTTTCCCAAAATCTTTTTCTCTGTTCTTTTACAAGCCGGGGTTTTCACAAAACAACCTCTCTTCTAAGCAGCTCATATTTCTAAATTGACTCATCACCCTTTTTCCGTAGGATGTATAGTGACATTCTGAGTGTGCTCTTGGCCAAACTGGTGGCACAAAGAAAATCAGAGGCAGATTCAGAAAACGAAATGAAGAAATTGTCATGTCAAATACATGAATATGAACTTCTTGTGAACCAGCTGAAGGTACGTATCTCTAAGTGATAAGAAGTATTAAATGGGTGGCAAACAGAACTAGGTTCTAATTGATAACAGCATTATTCAAATTTCAACTCGAATTGTTGGCAGGAACAACTGAGAGACGAAAAATTTAAGGCAAAGGAAGAAGCTGAAGATTTCGCTCAGGAAATGGCGGAGTTAAGATATCAGTTAACTGGATTGCTTGAAGAAGAGTACAAAAGACGTGCATGTATAGAACAAAGAGCTTTACAAAGAATAACCGAGTTGGAGGCTCAGGTATCAATATGTAGAGTTGTACACTTCATAACTCTACTATTCAATTAGCATGGTGACATGGGGTTTCTAATATATCATCTTCTTATCACAATCAAGATTGGAAAAGAACAAAGGAAAACATTTGCTGCTGTTCGAGGCCTTCCCAATGCTTAGAAGTTGGTTTCCAAGAATGCAGTGATCATATTCAGAATGCGTCAGAGGTTAGTGTTTTAGTTCTTCAGTGCATTCAGCTAATTGCCTTTGCTTATTTTTCTTAAAAAAGTCGGCTATTGTAGTCAAACTGAAATCCAACAATACATGCTCAAGTCGTTTGTAGTCAAAATGACAGTTGAAGTACCACTTGGGTGCTTGTTGCTCAGATTTTAAAATGAAACAGGGAATATAAAAGTTGTTTTAACTTAATTCTACTTATATATTTCTTGGTTATCTTGATTTCCTGTAATTGGTGTTGAGCAACCACCATTCTGATTCCTGTCCAAATTTTTTAGCAGGTGCTTAAGCACATAAGCCTCTATTTTGATTTGGCTCATTGGATCTTTGATGCCACCAGAAAGCACCAAAAGACTGCAGTGATGAGTATATATCAAGTCTCATGGCATCATTCTTGCCAAATGGTAAAATTCACCACATTTGCATATGGCATCTGTATTTAGAACCAGTTGCAAAAGGTTGCCATTTGGATGTGGAGACAAAATCTATGTTATTGAAAAACTCAGAAGTGTGTGTTCTTGGGTGATTAGCATTGTTCTTTGAGGTGAAGAATAATAAGTAGTCTGTTGTCTGTATTGGGAATGGTCAAATGTACAGCTTTCATTGCATAAAGTACATGTCATTGTGGCATTAGAACCGGCCAATTGTTCACAATGTGCAAGAAAGATTTGGTGATAGAATCCATGTTGGGTTTGTGTTTTATTACTCTTTAAATCAGTTTAAAATTTATTAACAACTCACACATTGAGCATATAATGCATATTTACTACTCCTAAGAGGCTAAGAGCAACAATTATTTTTAATACAACTTAAATTTGTGCTCATTAAATTTTTTGAGTTAAATGTACGAAATAATAACATATTTTCGTAAATTATTTTATTATAGCTTTTTATTTTTATTTTCTTCATCACGACATTGTATTTTCAAATTATTTTTTATTATTTCGTTGTACTATACAAATTTTACTTATTACGATAACATGTAACCTTTTAATTTGAATTTTATTGATGTAACACATGTTAGTAAGTTGTTATGCTATGACATTGTCCAAAAAAAAATTCCATATAATGATTTTAAAATATTATTAATTATAATATTGATTTATGATCCCAATGAGTCTATTCATGTTTTTCATTTAACAAGTATATTTAACAGATTTCTTAAAATAGAGAAAATGAATTTTCGTTTTTTATATCACTCTAACATATTATGATTATTTATAGAAAAAACTTCAAATATAGAGAATTCTCTAAAACATTCTTTCCATCTATCAGATTAAATTAATATTATTTTATAAAAAAGTTTTTTTTGAACTGTATTAAGATCATAAAATTATAGGATATTTAAATAATATAATTAATGATAAAATCTCTAAAATAGAGAATTTGTTAAAGTTAAATAATTTTTTATTTAAAAAATTTCTTATAATTTAATCCATAACAATTTTCTCATTGAATCCACAAATGCCTGTATTTTTTAATTACATCCGGATCTGTAGAACTTTCTTTTTAAATATTTTTACTTTTAGTTCTTTGTTTGAAAAAAAGATAAAGAATCTATTGAAAATATTTCTACTTAAAATATACAACCATAGTTTTATAAACATTCGAATCAAGATTTTTTTACAGTTGAAAATTAAAATAAATAAATTTTTACAGCATTATGTTTAATTTTTCATCATGAACAATAATCAACCTTTAATAAAGTATATGATATGAATCTTTAATCCAAAAATGGATGTTTTTGGCCATTTTTTTAAGTCAAAATCGAAAAGAACCTGTATCAAAATCGAAGGTCCACTCCTATCTATGTAGGTGAAAAGGGTTCGTTGATTTATTCTCTCAAACACAAACAAGAATTGCCCCCAAAAAGGGTCTTCTAATAACCCATCAAAGACTTTTTCTTTGAAGATCTTTTTAGTATTCAATTCCCCCCACTTTCAACTTCCTCTACCCATCTCCCCTTCCATTCTACTTGGATATTCCCTCCGGCAGCCACCCTTTCGTATCGTATCTCCCAAATTTCACAGGTTCTAATCGTTTAACTTCAACTTATGAACTTAATCTAGTTCCGATTGGTTACCCAAATCATATGCAAGTTCAATCATGATCGAATGAGCGTTTCAATTTATATGATCTTGTTACGTTCATTGATTTTTGGTATTTAATTAATGTGGGTTTTGTTACTTTGCTTTATTTTCTCATGGGTTTTGCTTCAATTGATTGCTGGGTTTCTGGTTGCTGAGAATGATCAAGAAAACTTGAAATTTTATTAATCTTTTTGGCATATTTTTATATTTTAAAAGAATTTATTTGGTCTTGATGCTTGTTGGTTTGGTTAACTAATCTTTGATTTGGTGGTGTTGTTGTGGATTAAGCTTTCTTGTGTTAGAAAGTTTACCCTTAATATTAGGACCAAACAAGTCAACACTAACCCTGACTTGATAAAATCATCAGTTCATCTGAACTTTTTCTTGATTTTTGGTGTTGATTCATGTGGCTTTTGTTAGTCTTCTTGATTACATCATGGGTTTTGCTTTAATTTTACTTGTAGGGTGTTTGGTTACCTAAAATCATCAAGAATAATGATAATTTATTGTTTTTTAGGTTTTTCTAATTATTAATTAAACTATCTGTTCTTCATGTTTGCTCGGTTTGCTTACAGTTTTTGATTCAGTGGAGCTGTTGTGGATTATGCTTTCTTAATTTCAAAAAATCCTTTGATGTTATAACTCAAAAGTCAATACTAATATGAGAAAAAGTCAAAAATCTCTGTGATCATCGAATTACTCATCTAATTTTCGGTTGTTCTTCTTTCTTTTCAGTACCCATATAATTGAAGCCTGCAAAATCCAGTATGTTTGGTCTCAAGAAACCCCATCTTCACAGACCTGCTAAACAAAACTCAGTTGACCCTCGATTACCTAGTCAACCTAGTGCCAATCCATTTGATTCTGATGATGAGATTGACAAAAGGTCAACCCAAAAACCCTCAAAAAGAACTTCATCTGAACCTTCTTTATCAACCCCAAATTCAACAATCAGTCTTTTTGATGATAATGAGGTTAAAGGGACCTCATCTTCCTCTGGGTACTCTCTTGATCATGCATCAAGAAACAAATACAAGAACGATTTTGTTGATTCTGGTGGTATAGAAAACCAAAGTACCCAAGAATTGGAGCATTATGCTGCATATAAGGCTGAAGAGACTACAAAGACTGTGAATAGTGCACTAAAGATTGCGGAGGATATCAGAGAAGGTGCCACCAACACGATGATTGCTTTGCATCAACAGGGTGAGCAGATCAATCGAACCCACATGGCTGCAGCCGACATCGAGCAGGATCTTGGCAGGGTATGTTCCTTTCTTTGTCAATTTTGCAATTAGTTTACTTGCTCCTCTAGTTTATATCAATTATAGGCAATATTATATAGTTTGGGTTAGCATGCATTTTGGGGGTTGTTGTAGTGTTGCATGATTGAAAGGTTCAACTTTGAGAGTTCGTTTAGTTTTTATGTTGAATGAAATATATTATCATTTTAAGCCTCTTTGTTTTGACTTATAAGTGAAAATTTTACAGCTTTAAAAGCATAAAGAAGGATTATGGGATGTATTTTTTTGAATTGGTATGTAGTTTTCAGCAGATCTGTTGATCGAAGTTATGTTGTTTCTGTAGGGTGAGAAGCTGTTGGGAAGTCTTGGGGGCATTTTTTCAAGGACTTGGAAGCCTAAAAAGGGTCAGACAATAAAAGGACCTACACACATTAGAGGTATGTAACGCCAAAAACGTCCTATTAGATCTTGCTTTCATCAACTTCTTGTAAGCTTCGATAATGTTACAGATGATCCTGATAGAAGAAAGGGCAACCATTTGGAGCAAAGGGAAAAACTGGGCCTTACAACTACCCCGAATAAGGGACCCTCACGTTCAAGAACGCCACTTCCTGAATCCTCCGATGCAATGCAGAAAGTTGAGGTATGAATATACTTGCTGGGGCAGGTTCAAACTTTAAGAACATGGAGACCAACTATTCATCCTTTATTCATGGTGAATAGTATTTATCATGAAAATTGCACGATGATCTTGATAAAAAATAATATTCAGGGTTATTCATAATGAATAATACATGAGATTGTTTGTTCTTGAGTGCATAAATATCTATTTGTTCTCATTTGAACTTTGCTCTATACATACTTGAGTGGTCAACTTTTTGAATCATTGTTCTATTGGAAATACAAAAGAACGAGCAAAGCTGGATGACGTTTGTTTGTTTCTTTAATTCGTTGAGGTTTCTTGAAATGATAACAGTATGAGAAAGGAAAGCAAGATGATGGGCTCTCGGACTTGAGTGATATACTGGGGGAACTCAAGGAAATGGCCGTTGACATGGGTTCTGAGATCGAAAGGTTAGTGTTTCAACTATGGACCAAATGGTCCCAGCTTGGTTTCAACTTCTTTGAACCAACTTAATGACATTGGTTCAGTGGGTTCTATGATATTAAACAATTAATCTAAGGGTAGGATGGAGACAAACATTTTTGAAATTTTCTAAAGCTGGTTATTTTGAAATGTGCAGGCAAAACAAGGCTCTGAATCCTCTTCAGGACGATATTGAAGAGATCAATTTCCGAGTGAAAGGTGCCAATCAACGTACTCGCCGTTTGCTCGGAAAATAGACCATATGGTTTATGAAGGAATTTTTCGGTTATTTTTCTTCATTCTTATGGGGATTTTCCAGTCAAAACAGTACCTTTTTTGCAGCTTCTTGTTGCATACAAACATTTTATGAACATGATACAAGCATCTAATTGCAAAAGTGCATTGGTAAGCTATGTGTTCTTTGCCATTATGCTGTAAACACAATATTTCCCCATTTTGTCCTTTTTATGTGCATGATATTTAATAACTTGTAATTTACGACATTTCCCGAACCCATGTTATAGCTTCTGCTAAGACCAATGCTTCTCACTCCTTCACTTTCGGGCACTCACTCATCTGCATCATTTTATACGCTAATAATGATCCTCCCCATTTCATGGCACCATGCTAGCTCCCGAAAGGCTGCAGTCCTTGAACATCGCTACATCACTATTGCATTTCAGAAATGGCGCTAGTGGGGGATGCCATGTACCGCACATGGAGTTTGTCGTGCTATTGCCTTCCGATCAATGCATATGCTTGGCTTGTTCCCACTCTATCATCGCTGTTTTCCCTAGTCGAGTTACCACCTCAACGGGTATATTCACTTTTTCATACTCGTTGATTTCTTTCTTTTCAGATGCTCCACATAATAGCTACCAACCTGCTCGAGATTGTGTGATTGGTTATTTGTATCACCTTAAATAACCACTCCTTAAACATTGTGTAGCTTAAAGTTATATATGGTAGCGGAATACGTGCCTTTTAACCGGGGTGGCCGTACTTAAGAGAAGTGAAATAAATAAATCTTTAACATAGTGGACTAAGTTTTACCTACCTAAAAGATAAAAAACCGTAGGGGCCCTGGCGCAAAGGCCCCTATAGGCCTCCACCCCTGCTCATCATGACATTTTACAATGGCATTGATGTCACTGCTAGACAAATGCTTGATACTACTGCATGAGCCACTCTAAATTCAGATTATGTGATAGTGTGGATCGTCATGTGCAATCTCATAATCTAAATTTTGAAGTGGTTTTGTTCAACATTAATGCTCAAATTTTGTCGGCTCGCGTCACGTCCATTGAAGAAAATACAGAAAATGTGCAACTAAGCACACCTCAGTTCCATTTGGAACTGATTGAAGGACATGAAGTCGAAGGTGATTTGGAGTTCAGTAATGAATCTACATGGGCTTATTATTTGAGTGATTTCAATATTTTGAAAAAATAAATGTAGCGATCAAAATGTTTCCATGATTAAATGTATTCAAAATTGACAATGTATATTTTGGTTTAAATAAATTGCTAGTTTATAATTTTAGATGTAAATTTTGTGATGATGATAATAAACAGATGTATATAATTTCAACATTAGAATATTCTAAAGGGTAAAATAAACAATTATCAAGATTCAGACATTTATCACTTTACCAAAATAAAGAGTGTTTAAAACATAATGCTTAACTAAGCGTGTTTAAAACTTATACCTAAAAATGTTTTATTATCTATCATAATATAAATATAGATGCATAGAATATAGATTATTTGTTAGTGGCTTAACTGATTTAACAGATTACTCACTTGAACTTTGTTGTTTGTTTCCAGTCGGTGATCCATACACACCAACTCCATGTGTTGCAACTATAAATTAGCTTATTTTTTGAGTTTATTGATAAACATCATTTAGTTTGCCATAAGCTAGCTTATGGAAGTAGCGTTTCAATAAAATTTAGTAGTTTTTCCCAATTTTTTTTATTATTTTACCTAAAGAGTAAATTAGGTGTTCGCGTTGCGGTTTGAGCTAAAGCGCAAACCGCACCGCAAATGCGGTTTAAACATTTTCCGAAACCGCCAACAATACCGCATAACCCACAAACTGTACCATAAAATGCGATGCAGTTTATGCGATTTGTACCTATCTCATTTTATGGCTACAATCCAATATCTATAAGTTTTAAAATACATTAACGATAAAGTGGTCGTAGTAAACTGAAACAACCCAACAGTATGGATTAACAAAAAATTTGTCAAAACAAAACTTTCTTCCATATAACATTTTCTCTTTGCCTTTATCCTTTGATGTTTGATGACCTGCAAAATAAATTATTTCAATAATTGAGGGTTAGACCAAAAGGACTAGTGAGTGAATCTCCCTCCTGCAAATATAATATGTTGTAATAATCTAATATAATCCAAATCTAATTTTTACTGATATAATTAACAACCATCTATCGCGATTACGCCGCCATTTCCTATATCGCGGTTACACTGTCATTTCATCTATGACATTACTATGAGTGATGAGGGTCAATCTGGACATACTTTATCGGTGAGGATTTTTATCGGACAATACTTGATCGGTGAAGGTCTCATCGGACAACACTTGATCGGTGAAGGTCTCATTGGATAACACTTAATTGATGAAGGGGCTCATCGGACAATACCTGATCGATGAGGGTCCTTACTGGACAACACTTGGTCGATGAGGGTCCTGTCCGGACAACACTTGGTCCTATCCGGACAACACTTTGATCGGTGACAAGGTTCATCGGACATCCTTTTGAGCGATGAGGGACCTCATCGGAGGATGCCTTGGCCGATGAGGGATCTCATCGAACGATACCTCGTCCGAAGAGGGTTCTCATCGAGTGATGCCTTGTGGGATGAAAGTAATAACAGTTTATATGAAATGTAAATATGCCATCAATACACCAGTCAATTATCATATAATTGATTCTACTACCAAACATGTAATGCCCTTATTTAACAAAACATTATATAGACTCACCTTTGCCTAAATCTTAGCTTGAATAAATGCTTCTGCCTTCTTTCCTTGTTAAAATTTTGCCAAAGCTGATTTCCCCAAAGAAAACTAGAAAACCTCATTCAGTCAACCCTCACTATATATAGTAAGTGGAAAGAATTGAGGAAAGGGAGAGGATTGGGGTGGTGCATGAGCAAACACCTCTCCCCATGCATCACAATCAAAAATCTTAATTTTTTTTTTGGAACAAATATACTTAACATAAGGAGAAGACATAAAATCATATATTGATCCCTCTGTTTCCCTTAAACGCCACATTTTACCCACGAACTTTCCATTGATGCTTTACTTCAAAATCTGACCATTTATATCTTAACATCGAACATTACAATATCCTATCCTTAGAAGAATTCCGTCCCAGAATTCCATTAAGTAAACAAATGAGGATATTTTACTCGCATCTCAAACTCAGGTTCCCAAGTGGCTTCCGTCCCCTTGTGATAACGCCACTGAACTTTCACTAACCCAATTTCTTTATTTCTCAGTGCTTTTACTTTGAAGTCGGTAATGGCTTTAGGGGTCTCTTCAAAACACAATTTTTCGTCAATCTTTACCTCTAGCAGAGGTACGACTACCTCTGGGTTTGCTAAAAACTTCCTTGAATTTGTCACATGAAAAGTGTTATGAATACCACTTAATTCCATATGAAGCTCTAATTTGTATGCTACTTCTCTGATTCGTTCAAGGATAAGAAATGGTCCACTATACCTTGGGGATTAACTTGCCCTTGTTTCCATAACGAACCACTCCTTTCGAGGGTGATACTTTCAACATTACTTTATCACCGACTTGAAACTCAATCGGCTTTCGATGTTTATCAGCGTAACTTCTCTGTCGATCTTGAGCTACTTCCATTCGTTCCCGAATTTGATTAATTTTATCTGTCGTTTGCTGAACTATTTCAGGTCCAGCCAATTGTTTCTTGCCTACCTCGTTCCAACACAATGGTGTTCGATATTTTCGTCTGTATAATACCTTAAAAGGTGCTGCTTGGATACTCGAGTGATAGCTGTCATTGTAGGCAAATTCAATCAAAGACAAATAACTATTCCACAATCCTCCAAAGTCAATAACACATGCTCGAAGCATATCTTCTAATGTCTGGATTGTTCGTTCACTTTGCCCATCCATTTGTGGATGATAGTTTGTACTTAACTTAATTTGTGAACTCATTTCTCTTTGAAAATTCTTCCACAACATATACGTGAATCGACTGTCTCGATCAAAAATTATTGATAATGGAACACTGTGACATGTCACCACTTCATCAATATATAGTTTTGCTAACCGGTCCATTGAATATGATTCTTTCATCGGGAAGAAATGAGCAGACTCAGATAATCGATTCACAATAACCCATATGGCATCATAACCCTTCGGTGTTTTAGGTAATTTGGTTATGAAATCCATAGTGATGTGATCCCATTTCCAAATCGGAATTTCTAATGACTGCAACTTACCATAAGGGCACGGATGTTCTATCTTCACTTGCAAATATGTAATACATTGTTCAACATGTCTGGCTATATATTTCTTCATGCCCGACCACCAGTAGTATTGTTTCATATCTCGATACATTTTATTCGTACCCGGGTGGATAAAAAAAAGAGATTTGTGGGCTTCACTTAAAATGTGTTCTCTAAGATTACCATAGTACGGTACCCGAACCTTGTTCTGGAAACACAACAATTTTCGGCCATCTTTTGCCAATTCAGATATCACCCCACCAAGTCGTTCTTGTTTGATCTTGTCTTCTCTCACAACCTCGCCTTGGGATCTCTGCAGTTCTTCATGAATGCTTGGCAATAACTCTGCTCTAAACGCTATAGCTTTAATTGTACCGCTCCTTTCTTTACGGCTTAAAGCATCAGCTACCACATTTGCCTTGCCCGGATGATACAAAATCTCGCAATCATAATCATTAACCAGCTCTAACCAGCGTTTTTGACGCATATTTCATTTCTTATGATTGAACAAATGATGCAAACTTTTATGGTCAGTAAAAATTTGGCATTTAGTCCCATACAAGTATTGCCTCTAGATTTTCAAAGCAAAAACTATGGCTGCCAGTTCCATATCATAAGTATGATATTGTTTTTCATGATCTTTTAACTGCCTTGAAGCGTAAGCAATAACTTTTCCATGTTGCATCAACACGCAACCCAAACCCAGCTTCAAGGCATCATTATAGACCATAAAATCTTCCGTTTCGCATACGTGTTGGACGGAGACTGGACCATTTGTGATGTAGAGACTGGCCGTGGAACCTTGATGTAGACAAGCGAAGTATGAGACCTAGAGGCTCTGCATGTACTATGCAGAGGCTCTGTGTCTATGACTCAGGCTCTGCATCCGAGGACTATCACCTTCCAAAATAACCCTCATTCCCATTTTATTTTTAAAAAATTCATAAGTGTTTGTCAACCAAAGATATAGAGATGAATTCCTCTTGATCAAACATAACACTTAGTATCACCAAAGGTTTGAAAATCCTACAATCTAGTTTCGAATAATATAAAATGACTAAATCCTAGGTACAGAGGCTATGTATAGTACATGCGGAGGCTCTGTATATGCTATACATAGGCTCTGGACCTTGAAATAAAGTTGAACTGTTGAATCAAAAAAGATTTTGAAACCAGAGTAGGTTTGATTAGCACCAAAAACGTTTGAGATAAAGATAGATACCATATCTTTTGGGTGATCTAGAGACTCATGGTTGTACTCCATATATTTTAACCATCACGACTTAACTTGATGATGCAGAGACTCTGTATAATACATACATAAGCTCTGGGTCTTAAAAATTCAGCTCTCCTCCTTGAATAATGCGTTCTGCTTTCCTCCCCTTTAAACTATACTTGGATCAACGAATAGTAAAATATGCACGGACAGGGCCGGCCCTGGCCATAGGCTCAAGGGGCAATGGCCCAGGACAGCAAAAATTTTAAGGGCAGCAAGTTTATGAAGCCCAATATTTTTGGGCCTAAAAAAAATTACGCTTACCACAAGTCCACAATACTCAATCGGCCGCTCTCACTTTCGTCCTCGACAGCTCGACCCTCGCCTCCTCGCTCAGGAACTGTGACTTTCGCCCTCCACAGTACCGATTATCTCTTGCTCTCGCTCTTGCTGACGGAACTGTCGAACTGACGAACATATTTTCCTTTGTACCGATTCGCTCTTGCTCTCGCTCTCGCCTCTCGCTCTCTCGAGTCTCGATTCTCTCTCGACTATTGAC